CCTGATGGAGGCGGGACACTGGCGCCCCGGAGCACGCACATGAGGGCTGGAGTGAGGGTGTCGAGTGGCCGCGGCCCTGGCCCTTCCCGGGTTGTAACCGAGGCCTCTTCCCCATCCCAGTCTGAGGACGAATGTGCACTCGATCTGGACCTTGTGACCGATCTAGTTCTGCACATTGATGCGCACGGGGAGCCAGGTGGGTGCTTCCACCCCTACCCAGCCCTGCCCACCCTGGGACCACTTGGCCACTGCCCAGCGACCAGAGCAGCTGGCTCATCGCGCAGGACCTTTGCAGGTGGGATCCTGTGCTTCCTGCCCGGGTGGCAGGAGATCAAGGGTGTGCAGCAGCGCCTGCAGGAGGCCCTGGGTGTGCACGAGAGCAAGTACCTCATCCTGCCAGGTGAGTGCTGGCCAGCACACTTCGGTCCTGGGTCCTGGGTCCCAGGCACTGGCCCCCCCGCCCCAGGGCTTGGAGGGCACCTGGTTCTGACCAGTCCCGCCACTTTTCCATGCGGTTTCACCAAGGTGGGGTCGGAATCCCCTCCTGGGCTGGTGCTGGCAGGCACAGTGCCCGTAACCAGTGTGTCTTGCTGGCCGTCAGTGCACTCCAACATCCCCATGATGGACCAGAAGGCCATATTCCAGCAGCCTCCAGTTGGGGTGCGGAAGATCGTCCTGGCCACAAACATCGCGGAGACCTCCATCACGGTTAATGACATCGTCCATGTTGTGGACAGTGGTCTGCATAAGGAGGAGCGCTACGACCTCAAAACCAAGGTGGCGCCTCTGCCCTGGGTCTGGCCAGTTCCCAGTGTCCCAGCCCTGCTCTGCCTTAGGCCTGCGCGGTTTGGGCAGACCGGCCTGGGGTTGCTGAGGGTTTGAGCAGTGGGAGGACACTGAGAGGCTGCTGGCATGGTGGCCCCTGCCCTCCCACAGGTTTCCTGCCTGGAGACTGTGTGGGTGTCGAGAGCCAACGTGATCCAGCGCCGAGGCCGGGCGGGCCGCTGCCAGTCGGGCTTCGCCTACCACCTGTTCCCGCGCAGCCGGCTGGAGAAGATGGCCCCCTTCCAAGTGCCGGAGATCCTGCGCACGCCCCTGGAGAACCTGGTGCTGCAGGCCAAGATCCACATGCCTGAGAAGACGGTGCGGCAGAGGTGGCGGGTGAGGTGGGCTGAGGCCGCTGGCACGCGGGCTCACGGCTGGTTGTCCTTGCTAGGCGGTGGAGTTCCTCTCCAAGGCCGTGGACAGCCCCAACATCAAGGCGGTGGATGAGGCCGTGATCCTGCTCCAGGAGATCGGTGCGTGGCGCTGCCGGGCCCGGGTGGCGGTACCGGGGCTCGGCTGAGGCTGACGGCCATGCTCTTGCAGGGGTGCTGGACCAGCGTGAGTACCTGACCACACTGGGCCAGCGTCTGGCCCACATCTCCACGGACCCGCGGCTGGCCAAGGCCATCGTGCTGGCTGCCATCTTCCGCTGCCTGCACCCGCTACTCGTAGTGGTCTCCTGCCTCACGCGGGACCCCTTCAGCAGCAGCCTGCAGAACCGGGCAGAGGTGGACAAGGTCAGAGTGCGTCCCTTCCCGCCCAGCCGCCACATGGGAAGGCGGCCTGGCCCCACCCAGGACCCTGTACCGTCTTCCCCCAGGTGAAGGCGCTTCTGAGCCACGACAGCGGCAGTGACCACCTGGCCTTCGTGCGAGCCGTGGCCGGCTGGGAGGAGGTGCTGCGCTGGCAGGACCGCACGTCCAGGGAGAGTTACCTGGAGGAGAACCTGCTGTACGCACCCAGCCTGCGCTTCATCCACGGTCAGCCCTGGCCGCTGCCCGCCCGCCTGCTCCAGCCCGGCCCCCCGGCCCTACCTGTTCACCTTCCGCCCCATGCCTCTCCCCAGGGCTCATCAAGCAATTCTCTGAGAACATCTACGAGGCTTTCCTGGTGGGCAAGCCCTCGGACTGCACGCTGCCCTCGGCCCAGTGCAACGAGTACAGCGAGGAGGAGGAGCTGGTGAAGGGTGTGCTCATGGCCGGGCTCTACCCCAACCTCATCCAGGTGCGGACACCCAGCCCGATCCCGAGCGGGAGAGGGGCCGGCTTCCCACCGGCCCAGCCCTGCTCATCCGCTGTGTCCCTGCAGGTGAGGCAGGGGAAGGTGACTCGGCAGGGGAAGTTCAAGCCCAACAGCGTCACCTACAGGACCAAATCCGGCAACATTCTGCTGCACAAGTCGACCATTAACAGGTGGGGGACAGGCAGGGGTGGGACAGGCTGCGGAGGAAGGGCTGGCTGCCGGGCGGCCACGCTCAACTCCATGTCGCTTCCCCAGGGAGGCCACGCGGTTACGGAGCCGCTGGCTGACGTACTTCATGGCTGTCAAGTCCAACGGCAGTGTCTTTGTGCGGGACTCCTCCCAGGTGCACCCACTGGCAGTGCTGCTCCTTACTGACGGGGACATCCACGTCCGGGGTGGGTGTCCATACCCTCTGCGCCTCGCACATGTGCTCCGGCCTGGCCTCGCATGATTCCCTGCCTTCTTGTCCCTCCACCAGATGATGGGCGCCGTGCCACCATCTCCCTAAGCGACAGTGACCTACTGCGGCTGGAGGGAGACTCGAGAACCGTGCGGCTGCTGAGGGAGCTGCGCCGGGCCCTGGGTCGCATGGTGGAGCGCAGTCTGCGCAGTGAGCTGGCCGCACTTCCGCCCGAAGTGCAGCAGGAGCACGGGCAGCTGCTTGCGCTGGTGGCAGAGCTGCTGCGAGGACCCTGTGGTAGTTTTGACGTGCGCAAGACGGCGGACGACTGAGCCCCTCTTCCGCTGGGGCTGTGTACAGAGTGCAAATGTTTATTTAAAATAAAGTTCTATTTATCCCTTGTGAGCATCGCTCTCCAATAGGGGAGACCCTCTCGAGGCTGCAGCACCGTGGGCCTGGGGTTGTGCAGCCTCTGCCTCCACCAGGCCAGAAGCGCAGGGGCCTGTTGTCACTGGCCCTGTGGTCTTCCCAGTGTCGAGCGGCTTCTAGCCTGCCATGGCGATGCTGCAGTGATAGCCATAGGCTGCCTGAGCGGTGCATGCTGGGCCCCAGGGGGAGTGGGACAAACGAGGGTACACAGAGCCTGCGTGTGGACATTGGGCAGCTTTATTAACTCGAGATCAGTACAACAAACACAGATGTGGCTAATGGCTGAACCACAGCAAGTTGGGAAGTACAGAAACGTCCCAGCCCCAAGAGGCTGCAAAGTAGCCCCAACACACTGGGGCCTGTGGTCCCCATCTGTCATCAGGTCAGGCAGCCTTTGCAGGTCCTCCAGCTCATAGGACACTCGGGGGCAGCAGGGACTAGGCAGTCTCTTAGGGCAGACTTGGGGCCCGGGCTGGAAGGCTCTTCCCTGGCCAAGGAGCGTTTTGGAGCCTGTCATTAACTTCGGCATCCTGGTGGCCCTGGGGGATCAGCCCTGGGGAGGAGTGCAGGTGCCTTCGGACCTAGCACGTCACCTCCTCAGTCCCCTCTGCGGCACTGCCCCAGTGGACAAAATGAACACGGCAGCCAGGGTCACTGTCCTGTGGGCCCTTTCTGCAAGAAAATGACCACTTCATGCCCAGGTACGCCCTCCCTCGACAAGGACTGGGCCCCTGCAGTGGAGGTCCCAAGGTAGGCCAGAGTGACATCCAGGCCAGATGCTGCCTCCTCCAAGGCAAGTCTGCACAGCAGGAAATGCCCCTCTGGAGAAGCCCTTGGAAGCTCCCAGGCCACTTCACTACAAGTCTGTTTTAATCCTTTATTAGAAACCATGCAAACTTTAATACAAAAAATACAAGTGCAATAAGAATCTTTTGTGTCCATACGGTCCCCGGGATCTCACTGTGGCTCGCCCACAGGCTGGCCCTTCAGCCGGAAGGGAGTGGGTGGCCCCAGTCTCAGGCCTCAGTTTTCTATTTCTGGCTCCCCACTGTCCACATGACTCTGGAGACCTCAGGGTCCCCCAGGAGAGACCTTGGGTGTCCCCTCTCTTGCTTCTCCAGCACTGGCCTTGCATTACACAGTGACCGCCAAATCCCAGGGAACAAGACACACAGATGCCAAACCCAGCCTCTTGGTTAGAAAAGAAAAGCAGCATACACACAAAATGCCAACATTACCAGCCATGCTGACCAGCCAGCCCAGCACTGGCTGCCAGCCCGCACCTCGCGTCCCCACCACAGCGCCCAGGGCCCCATGCTGCCCCGCGCAGGGCAGTGCCAACCCCCATTCCTCTGGGCGGAGGCCCGCCATCCCCTCCCCGCTCCCTTCGCACCTACCGAGACCCTCCCTCGGACATCTACCTGCACAACTACTCCTCTGGCTATAGGTTACTGGGGGAAGTGAGAGAAAGAAGGTTGTGAAGACAGCTAGGCAGGCACGGCAGGCAGTGGGGTGCAGCACAGCGGAGGGCCTGGTGCCGCCTGCACGGCGAGTGATTTTGTGGGGTCACAGGGTGAGGTGGAAGCCTAGGCTCCAGGGGCAGGGTCACCACCCCGCGCATCCCTCCAGGTGGGCCAGGGAGGAGGGAGGGCATGTCAGTTTCTTTTGGGTTTGGTCCAGAAAAACCAAACAATGGAGGTAGGAATCCAGTTCCTCCCTCTAGATCCCACGAGATTCCCCCACTCCTCGACCTACCCCGCGGCAGGCAGTGGGCAGCGGCCAGCGATGGGGCAGGAGCAAAGCGGGAGGGGCCCGGCTGAGCTTGCTGGTGCCCA